TGAGAATTGGAATTGGTAAATATTCCAGGGCCTTGACATGGGCAGGAAACTCTGCATAATTGGTTTTTGCCGTTCTATAGAGATGTTGAGTGACGTCGTGGAAGACACTGTTCTGGAGCACGGTGGTGAGGTAGATCCACTTATATCTTTATTTATTTGTTTAGGCTGTGATCCTTTCATGTACCATTTTGATTGCAATTGCATGATAAGCACAAACCTGCCTTGCTCTGCTCCTTTGTGAATCCACTGCATTTATGATCTTCTCGTAAAATCTATTTATCGGCCTGCTTTTGTACATCTTGACCTTTAGTCCTATTGTAGGCTTTAGATCAACATATTTAGGCCTCAAATATCATTGGCCATCAATTACCCAAGTCAAAAACTTCAATTGTATTTTGTTTATCAATAGAACTCATACGTGGAGATGTTTTGTGGAGATGTTTGGAGGCTAGAGGTGTACCTGTTGCCTACGTTAGGTTGATTAAGGACATGTATGATGGAGTAAAGACTCGAGTGAGGACGGTGGGTGGAGACTCGAACCATTTTCCGGTTATGATGGGGTTGCATCATGTGTCAGCACTCAACCCTTTTTTGTTTGCTCGGGTGATGGATGTACTGACGCGCCACATCCAAGGGGAGGTGTCGTGGTGCATGCTATTTGCAGATGATATTGTATTGATTGACGAGACGCGAGACGGTGTGAACGCGCAATTAGAGGTATGGAGGCAGACCCTGGAATCTAAAGGTTTCAAGTTGAGCAGGACCAAGACAGAATACTTGGAGTATAAGTTCAATGGCGAGACTCAAGGTGGGGAAGGGGAGGTGAGGCTTGACTCGCAGGTCATCCTAAGGAGAGGGAGTTTTAAGTACCTTGGGTCTAATATTCAAGGGGATGGGGAGATTGATGAAGATGTCACACATCGTATTGGAGCGGGATGGATGAAATAGAGACTCGCTTCCGGGGTTTTGTGTGACAAGAAGGTGGCACCAAAACTTAAGGGTAAGTTCTACAGAGTGTTGGTCAGACTAACGATGTTGTATGGGGCTGAGTGTTGGCCAGTCAAGATCGCTCATGTCCAGAAGATGAAGGTAGTAGAGATGAGGATGTTGAGATGGATGTGCGGTCACACCAAGTTAGATAGGATCAGAAATGAGGTTATTCGCGACAAGGTGGGTGTGGCCCCTATTGAGGACAAGATGCGGGAAGCGCGGCTTAGGTGGTTTGGTCATGTGAGGAGGAGGAGCACAGAAGCTCTGGTGAGGAGGTGTGAGAGGTTGACATTGGAGGGCCTACGGAGAGGTAGAGGTAGGCCAAAGAAGAGGTGGGGAGAGGTGATTACGCAAGATATGGCGCAGCTTAAGCTGACCGAGGACATGACCCTTGATAGGAAGGTATCAAGGTCGAGGATTAGGATAGTATAGTAGGTAGTCTAGAGGGTTCATAACAATAGTATTGGCACGCAATCTTGCTTTCTGTTGGTAGTAGGTTTTTATGACTTACCGTTGTTTTCTTTCATTGTTGATCACATTACTGTCTTGTTGTTTTTATTCTACTTTTATATGACTCTTTGGTACTGTCCCTTTTTGTCTATATTTTTATTAATGTGGTGCTTATGCTTTCATGAGCCGAGGATCTATTGGAAACAACCTCTCTATCCTCGCAAGGTAGGGGTAAGGTCTGCGTACACACTACCCCTCCCCAGACCTCGCGGTGTGGGATAATACTGGGTATGTTGTTGTAATAGAACTCAGACGTCATTCTTTTCTTATCTAGTTGACTTGTGAATACATTTTCTAGTGGAGAACTCTTTCTAATGGGAAAGAAAAATGAAAAGGAGAGTGGAGTGTTCTAATTATACATGTAAATTGCAGCTGTAGTGTTATTCCTTACTTAATGAGGTTAGTTGCTTTGTTTACTTAAATGATAGCCAAGAATGTTTTAGTGAGTTGGATTTTGTTGGGTGGAATAATTCCGAGAAACTAATAAGAGTATATCCGGATAGAGAAAATTCAATTGGGGATCATATCTAAAGTTTCTTCTGGTATAACTCCTGAGGAAGTCCACATAAGATATCAAACAGCCCCCCCCCCCAACCCCCCACCCCCCCCACACACACCCCACAACAAAGAAAAAAGAAGCTACGGTTGAAGCTAGTGAGATCGACCTAGGCTAAGGGGCGTTAATTGACATCCCTTCGCCGGAAAATTATACTGTGTAGCTAGGTCAAAAATTGATTTTTTTTGTATATATACTGTACGTTGAATCCCATAGCTTCTTCATATATTTACTTCTTTATATTTTGACAACCCTTAATGAAATTTCTGGTTCCGCCATTGGCCGTGACCTATTATGAAAGCATTAGTATTGGTCAACTTATCAAGCCAGGTATGAACATAAACAAGGAATCCTGGGACTTATTTAAGACATTTTATTAAACTAATCGCATTAAACAAGCATTAAGGTACCAAAAATAAGCGTATTATGAAACTGTGTCGTCGCTTCTTAGCTATATGTTTAAAACAAAAAAGTCCTAGGAAGGTGTTCTTGCAATTCTTGATCTTTCTTGTTCTTTTGGTAGTTGGATTATACCGCTTTGATTACCCATTTAAGTTGTCTGTTGACATCTAGTCACTTTCCCGCTGGTTGCCTCTTTGGTTGTTCAATATGGAATTTCATATCTAGTCTTTGTACTAGTACTCAAACTTTCATAAAACTGCTCTTTGCTGATTGGTCAAAACATGTTCTTTTAACCGCTAAATGTTCAATTAGGCGTCACTGTTCTCTTTATTAGGGAATTCATCACTTATTATTACGGCTTGAGAAATTACCTTTTCGTGCTACAGATTGTCTCTGCGGAGAAAGCCAGCAAGGGTGATTTGCAGGAAAAGCTAACCATGACTGTCGCAGTGCCGCTACTTTGGGGGGTTCCTCCTGCATCTGAAACAATCCGCCTGGCAGTTCGAAATGGTGGAGGCATTGTAGATAAAGTTTACTGGCGATGGGACTTCCTGTAGATAAATATGTGAGCTCCCTGGCCTTTGTGTATTTGTAAATATTATTCTTCTTTGTACAAAATGGAAAATGTAGCTTAACCTGTGTACGCTGGATGTTAAAAATAGTCCATCCATTGTTCCGACTTGTAAATTACCTGTCTATAAAAATTTAAGTTGAATTACTTCGGAAATCTGTCACGTTCATAAATTTTAAGCTAAAGATCCTTCAGGCTGTAGGGCAACTGTTAAGTTCCAGCTTTCTATATATTTAAGTTGAACTAATACTACCTGTTCACAAATCACATATTTCCGTCACCTCCTGCTAAATAGAAAATTAAAAAGTTTTGTCCACTGCATTGTAATGCTTCTTTTTGTATAGACAAAATGTGGCAATTATATAATTGCGAAACTGTACAAATAGGTGCTACTTGATAAACGGTATTAAGAAAAACTCAAGAATAAATATTCGTTTTGTCTCTTCGAGTGATAACTAGGTAGGTGTGTAACACCTCTTGACCTTTTGCACATTAGAGAAGACATTCTTAATCCTTAGAGAACCATTTCCCCAGAGATTTAAGGCACATGATGTTCTTTTAAATAAACTGATGATATAGCTGGCGAAACCCATTACATGTATCTGTTATGTTATAATATGCAGAAGCTGACAAAAATGGGTTAAGAGGTCAATGCATTCTTCTTTACTAAATGAGTGACTACATTATACAGCATATGCAAAGATCAAAATGTTTTGGATGTTTTTGGATTGCTTCCCTATGAGGATTCCCTTTACACTTGCTTCTAATCTGACATGAATTTCTACTTTTTTTACGAAGATCTGAGTTTCCACCTTCTATAATTATGTCTTTTCTACTTCCCATTTGATTACTTTTATGGCAGATGAATCATATAATGGAATCAGAAAAATTCACAAAAGTCTATTTTTTATTTTTATTTTTTGGGTTTTGGTAGTATTAATTAGTGTTACAATTGGAAATTAACCGGCTTTGTAATTTTTTTTGTCATTATCTAATCACCCATCTTCAGTGGCGCGGAGCCACATTGAACGAAGGGGTGCGACACCCTTTCACCGGAAAATTACACTATACTGCTAGATAAATACGTTGACTCCTCTTGACTTTTCGATGTATCTAATTATTTATATTTTGATACCCCTTAATGAAAATTCTGGCTCCGCCACCGCCCGTCTTAGTTAGCGGCGTCTAACTAGTTTGCACTAACAACTCGTGGCATGACTCACTCCTTTTCTTTATTTTTCTTTGTTATTCTTTATAAAGAAAAAGATGTGCGGTAATCCATGCTTTGCATAAAATATGCATTTTGGATTTTGAAGCATCTCAATCATTGAACAATTAAATGGTTTAAACAAGAGGAGGGTGTCAGAGACGATCGTGATGTTAGGATCAACATTAAGTCACTAGAAAATGTTATGACAAACACGTAACAAGATGTATATGATAATCACACAGTATAGAGAATAAAAAAAGATTAACACAATTTATGAGGTTCAATTACAATACCAAGAGCTCCAATTCCCGTTTCTTTGAATTTTTTTACATCTCAAATTCCAAGCCATCTACTATCAACATAATTACAATTTACAGAAACCTCGTAAAATATTCACTTGGCGCGCAAGCTTTTTTAACTGATCTATAATTGAGCTTATTAAAAGAGATACAAAATTCAAACCCCACATTAACAGAAAATATCAAGACAATGACTTCGCTCGAATTTAAGTTATATACGTTAATAGTGATAATAAAATATTTTGACAAGCACATTACCTATAAAATAATTACATGTAAATCTCTATCATAACAACAACAACAACAACAACCAAAAAAAAAAAAACCGCAGTATGTTTTCATAAGTGGGCTTGGGGAGGGTAGTACGTACGCAAACCTTAAATCGCTATAATAAGTGTTACGAATAATTGGTAACCTAGTAAAAAGGTAACTTGCTTATTATAATAGATTAAACTATAGTAATGGTGTAAAAAATTGATGTATAGAACTCAAATTTATATTTGAAATGGTTGCAGCTTAGACAACAGTACTAATACATCAATTACCAAAAAGAATGCACAAACTAAAATTTTTAACTTTACAAATTCATATCTATCCGGTTTTCATCATGCATGAAAGAAGTTGTTATAGATGGTAGTAGTGCTAATTAGCTGCTTAATCTCCTCCAAACTACACTCTAATTGATTTTCCTCATCATAACTACCCTTTCCACTTGGCTTTCCTTCAGCATAACTATTAGTAGTACTGCCATTTGTAATTGAGAAGTTGGAATTATTCTGTTTCTCATCTACCCCATTATACAAATAGCTAACCCAGTTTTCACCTCCACTTGAACAACTAGGAGTACTCAAGAAATTGCTTGATGGGGTAGAATATATGGCTTTATTGCCAGGGAAATTAGTAGCTGCTGAAATAGGATAGAAATGGCTATTGGTATATTCATAAGTTGTTGTTTTTGATGAGAGAGCTGGTGATGGAGAAGAATATAGTGATGAAACTAGGGATGAATTAGCTTGAAGAGGTGAAATTGATGAATGACATGTAGTTTTGTGAATTTCCTTAATTTGCTGAGATGAATTAGAGACAAGAGACTTCATCAGTTTCTTCTTGAGCTTGGTATTCCAGTAGTTCTTGATATCATTGTCTGTCCTGCCTGGTAGCTGAGCAGCTATTATTGACCACCTGCACAAACGAATTCAAGATTTAAACTTAATAAGTTCGAAGTTCTGAGTGTTTTTGAAAATATTACTAGTTTAATACGCACTCTTTCGTGTTTTATTGACCACCAGCAGCTACTTTTTCGTGTTTTACACACAAAAAAAATATTTATGGACTATGGTCTATACTGAAAATGATAAGTTCAGAAAACGCACTCTTAACACACTAAGTCCGCCTCTAACATCTGATCTTTTATGAGATGGAGAAAGTAATAGAACATATATATATATATACCTGCTTCCAATCTTAGCATAAAGGCTGCAAATTACTCGGTCTTCTTCATCTGAAAACTCTCCATGTTTAATGTTGGGTCTAAGATAGTTTAACCATCTCAATCTGCAGCTCTTTCCACATCTTCTCAGCCCTGATAACAAGTAATAATGCAACAAATAAATGACTCGTTATAGTGTCCGTGACAGATCCAAAATTTAGATATTGTCGGGAAAATAGGTTCTAAAATGTATATCTAACTCTATCTATACTTGCTTTGCACAAATATATATAGAATTCGACCATAAAACACTGAAGAATCAAAATTTTGAACATATATACCAGCTTTTTGTGGAAGAGAAATCCAGTTTCCACCAGAACCATATTTGTCTATATACTCTTTTAGTTTTGCATCTTCTTCAGGTGACCATGGCCCTCTTTTCACATTTCCTTTGTCACAACAAGGAGCTCTCCCCATCTTGATTTCTTTTACTTAATTTGTCCTCTCTCTCTCTCTACCTTAGATGACTAGTTTTGAGAAAGCAAATACTAGTATATATATTTTTTGTGAAAGATACATAAGTCAAAGGACAGACCTTAAACTTCAATTATCTAACACTACTCTTGAGTGATTAGTTGAAGTTTCAACCATAAAATACTATTTGTAACACAAAAAGAAACCTTCCATTGATCCTCTTACATACTTATATACTGGTACGACAAAGAATTTTTATACTATCACTTCATTTTAACCTATTCTGTTATGTTACCTGCTTCATATTTAGGAAACTAATTCATACTTATTATTATCAATAGTTAGTTATAATTATCTGTCAAGTGATCTAATAGTGTAAATTTTTATACGTTAAACCTTTTTTTTAAGCAGCCTGGTTTTTCTCCTTAAAGAATTGAAAGTCTGCATATAACTCACCATTTGAATAAGATTGGTGGCAGCTAATAGATAAACTATTGTTAGCATATATATATATATATATATATATATATATAGGCCTAAATCATCGACTCTAATATCAAATAAAAAGGGCATTTTACCACATATATGAAGATTGTATAAAGTAAAATATTATTACCAGCAATTAAGATTCGTTTGGGTGACAATTAGTGACAGGCTCGAATATGAGATTAGGAGTGAATTTGCTAGTAAAAATTGACATTCAGCTTGACATATTGGAGTATGAGGAGAGTATAAATTTTGAAGAAATTAGCAATGTCTAGACTTATGGTTGTACTTAGTATAAATATCTTGTTCAAATTGTAATTAGTTTATTTCAATTTTCCTTTGTGTGTTAATTATGATATTGGGTCTAATTTCTTTACGGTTTTTTATTCTAATCTTCCCAAGGTAAACTTCATATATATAAATTACTATAGTCAATATGAACAACTTAATAAAATTACGCTAATTATTTTTCATTAAAAAAGAAAACACAAAAACTACCGCAACTGCCCGATTACATGCATTCCAAAAAAAAATTAAGGCTATTGTATAGGGTCAAATTTGACCCTCAGCATCTCTGCGTCAGTGGGTACGCCCAGTGAGTGTACGCCGACTAACGTAGCGGGTACGACTCGGCCGTGGGGACAAAAGCGACATGGTTTAGGACTCAGTGTCTTCACTAGGGAGACGTTACCTGTCTTTGTAACTTTTTGATTCTTTCGAGGAGGGTCTCTTATTATATAAAGGAGACCCTCACATTGTAAAAGGGGGCATCTGATATAATACAACTCTCTCATTTTTCTAGCTTTCTCTCTCTATCTCTATTTCAAACGAACATATCTTATTGAGTTCATATTATCACTTTGCAATACTAGATTTACAACAATATTATCATCTTTGCATCTCTAGGATTATTATATTTGATTACGATTTACCCCTTTTCCTACTTTTGATTGTTATTTAGCTTACAAAGTATATCGTTAACTTTTGAGCCAAACAATTTGGCGGGGATTTCGAGAATCAAAACCATAGTATTCACCTAGAGATCAACAAACTACCACTCTCTACACCACACAAAAACAGAAGATGGCCGAAAATAACACAAGATCGAAAGCTATATTGGGTGTCACTACCAATCTCCTTAGCCCTCTCAACGAGGCCAGTGACGATGGCATCCTGAATGCAACCCCTAGCATCACACCAGGTGCAGAGATCTCACCTTCCCCATCCGAAGGTCTGATGATCTTGCACGAAAAAGGAGCTTCCACATCTGCGGCTACGGAAGCACCCCCAGCGGTCAAAGAGCTACTGGAAAGATGGCTAACAAGCACTCTAAGTGGCTTGGTTGAGAGGTCACCACAAAGTAACATCGGGTGTACACCAAAGGTAGGTACCGCTGCTGCCGTGGGTGAACCGGAATTTGCACTAGCGAATAACAAACCCATCGAGACACAGACCAACGATGGCACGCTAACAACCATCCTAAAAAAGATGGAAGAAATGGAAAATGAAAATAAGGCGCTCCGCGACCAGATGAAGGAACATCAGGAGAGGGTCGACAAAATAAGGCGCTCCGCGACCATGAACGGTATGACGACTTCGAAGATAGTATCACCTTCGATAAGTCTGATGCCGACGGTTTGTCTTTCCCTCATTATGATGCTTTAGTTATCACTTTACGTATTGCTGATACGGATGTTAAAAGAGTCATGATCGATGACGGAAGTGGCGCCTGTATTATCCACCCAAGGGTCCTCGTACAAATAAGACTCGAGGATAGGGTAATACCGCGCTGCATAACACTAACCGGTTTTAACAATGCAATGGAACGGACGTCCGGAGAAATAGCACTGCCCATCTTAGCAGGAGGAGTCACGCTGGAAACAACTTTCCACGTGATGAACCAAGAAACGGCGTACAACGTCATCATAGGACGCCCGTGGATACACGCCATGCGAGCGGTCCCTTCAAGCCTCTACCAAGTGATCAAATTCCCTACCCCATGGGGAGTATTCAGTATTCAAGGCGAGCCACGCACCGCACAAGAATGCTACAAAATAGCCCAAGACTGCGCCCACACCCAACAGCTAAAGGGGGCGAGCGCGGAGGCATAGCAATTAGCCGTGTCGGGGACTAAGGTCAACCCGACAACGGACGCCATCAAAGATCCCGACGTCGTGGAGGCCTGTAAAGCAACGGTCGAAGATCTCGATCCAGTCCAATTGGATGAAACCAATCTTACGAAGAAAGCCTATATCAGGCACGATCTCGCCAACCCAATTAAGTATCGTGAATTCTTAACTAACCATCGGATTTGTTCGCCTTTTCCCATTCAGATATGCCAGGAATCCCGCGAGACATCGCCACCCACAAGCTGAATGCCGATCCACTACATCCGCCCGTGCGACAGATGAGGAGAAAATTCAACGCCGCTATCAATGAAGCGGTCAGTAAGGAAGTAGACGAGTTACTGGCCAACGGCTCCATCAGAGAATCAAAGTACCCCCCAGTGGGTCGCCAATGTCGTCATGGTCAAAAAGAAAAACGGGAAGTGGAAAATGTGTGTGGATTTCACTGATCTGAACAAAGCATGCCCAAAGGATTCATTCCCACTACCCCACATCGACCAACTGATCGACGCCACTGCAGGACATGAACTACTGAGCTTCCTAGATGCCTACTCCGGCTACAATCAAATCATGATGACCGAGGAGGACCAAGAGAAGACAACTTTCATCACCCACCAAGGGACTTACTGCTACAAGGTAATGCCCTTCGGGCTCAAAAATGCAGGGGCTACGTATCAGAGGCTGGTCACCAAAATGTTCAAAGAGTAGCTCGGTAAGACTATGGAAGTCTATATCGATGACATGCTGGTAAAGTCGACAAGAAAAGAGGACCACATCGACCATCTGAAAGAAACCTTCGAGATATTGAGAAGGTACGGGATGAAACTGAACCCGGAAAAATGCGCCTTCGGTGTGGCATCAGGAAAATTCTTAGGGTTTCTCGTATCACAACGAGGTATCGAAGTCAATCCAGATCAGATCAAGGCGATAGACACAATACCCGAGATACTGAATAGCAAAAAGCAGGTGCAAAAGCTGACGGGGCGAATAGCCGCCTTGTCTAGGTTCATCTCACGGTCCTCCGACAGATGCCATAAGTTTTTCAATGTGCTGAGAAAGGACAACGGGTTACAGTGGAATGAGGAATGCGTCGAGGCCTTAAGAAAATTGAAAGCGTACCTATCCTCGCCGCCACTTCTGGCCAAAGCAAATCCAGGCAAGCCCCTGCTGGTATATTTGGCCGTATCCGAGGTCGCCGTCAGCGCAGTCCTAGTTCGTGAAAACGAAGGTACACAATCTCCTATTTATTATATTAGCAAAACCTTAGTGGACGCCGAAACACGGTATCCACACCTTGAAAAATTAGCTTTGGCATTGGTCGTAGCTTCACGGAAGCTCCGACCCTATTTCCAATGCCACCCCATAAAAGTAGTGACGACCTTCCCCTTAAGAAGTATCCTACACAAGCCTGAGCTATCAGGCAGACTTGCCAGATGGGCCATAGAGCTCAGTGAGCACGATATCTCGTATCATCCAAGAAACGCCATCAAGTCGCAAGTGCTTGCCGACTTCATAGCCGACTTCAGCGCAGAGATACTACCAGAGGCGGAATTAGAGGCACGTCGTGCCCCCTCCAACGCCGACCTATGGACTCTTTACACTGATGGCGCCGCTAACGCCTCGGGATCGGGACTGGGACTCATTTTCGAGGTCCCCACGGGCGAAACAATTCGCCAGTCCATACGATGCCCCGAGATGACTAACAACGAAGCCGAGTACGAGGCTGTTATTGCAGGTTTAAAACTAGCCATCAAGTATGGAGCTCGACGACTCGTTCTCCATTGCGACTCTCAACTCGTGGTGAACCAGGTCACCAGGACTTACCAAATCAAGGAGCAGAGTTTGCAAAAATACCAGTCAGAAATCCACAGGTTAATGACCTAGTTCGACGAGTGCCGCTTCGAACAGGTTCCGAGAGCACGGAACGTTGAAGCAGACGGCCTAGCAAAATTGGCCGCAGCCACTAAAAACTTCAACAAAGAAAGCGTGGTCACCCTCCTCCATTCAGCCATTGATCACACTGAGGTACTCTCTTTAAATTTGACTTGGGACTGGCGCAACCAATTTGTATCCTATCTGCAGGATGGAACACTCCCACTCGACAAAAAAGAATCCAAGAAGCTCCGCGTACAGGCCGCCCAGTATTGCCTGATAAACCACGAGCTCTACAAAAGGACGTTTGGCGGACCCCTGGCCAAGTGTCTAGGGCCGCAACAAACGCGGCCAGTGCTCGAAGAGGTACATGAAGGTCATTGCGGTGCCCATACGGGCAACCGCGCCCTCGTGCGCTGCATAATACGAGCCGGCTATTATTGGCCCACTATGAAGAAAGACGCAGCGGAATATGTTCGCCGATGCGAACAATGCCAAAAGTATGCCCCCATGATACACCAACCAGGAGAACCACTTCACTCGGTCACTTCCCCATGGCCCTTCATCAAATGGGGAATGGACATAGTCGGTCCCCTACCAGTGGGACGAGGAAAGGTACGATTTCTATTAGTTTTAACTGACTATTTTTCCAAGTGGGTGGAAGCAGGAGCGTACGCCCAAATACGCGAACAAGAAGTGATCGCCTTCATATGGAAAAATATTATATG